AGCCAATGGAGACGGCACCGAACCTCGGGTCAGTTCCCCTCTCTGCTGACCTGAGGAGGGTTGTGGGGATGGCACTGAGGCAGGAGGTGGGGGCCTAGTAGGTCTATCCCTGCTTCAGATGAAGGAACACCATGCTGCTGTGCAGGCAAGTTCCTGTGCCAGGACATGGCGTCCGTCTGCTCCACAACTCACTGTTTGTGGCTCTGACCCCAGCTGCATCTCTGTTGGGGGTGCCCCCGGCAGGGTGGTCGCAGAGGCACAGCCCTCTGCCGGGGGATTGCTTCAGTCTGCACAAGTCTGGGGTCTCCCCCATGCTCCGTGTTGCTGCAGCACTGAGTGCCAGCTCGACATACTCCAAGCCTGCAGGATAGTTTTGCCAGGCCACTTAAAAATAATGATGTGGGGCTTCAGGTTCTGCCGATAGCAATGCCGTGTGTGGAGTTTTCAGTAATGGGGTAAGAGAGGCTTCTTCAAGCTGGATTAGGATCTTAACTGCGAGTGAGTAATACCTTAGTCTGCAGGCATTCCCATCAATTTCAGTAAAGTTGTGTTGCAAGGGGCTATTTGAGATGAGTTAAGGGGATAAGAATCTGACTGCAGTTCTGTTCAGGGCATTCCTAAAACCTTTTGGGTGCGTTTGACTGGTGGAATTACGTGCTTTGCTCAAGCGCGTGGGTGAAACCATTGGACTGGCTTGTTGTTTGGGCTGTCGGGCAAAACACGGAGAGCTTTCCCTCCTGAAAGGTTGGGAGCTTCACCTGAAAGTGCAAATACTCGCTAATTGTTTGTCATCTTTGCTCACATGCAATAGCCCATAAATTCTATTTTCAGAATCCAAACTAAACATGGTCAGGAGTGAGTGGGAAATCATGTAAACAATCTTTCTAGGGATATAGTGAGGTACTTGTACTCTCTGGTCTGAGAACTGCCTGGACATCCTTAACTCTTCCATTTCCTTTGGCTTGTGCATGCACAAGTACTACGGCCCCAAAGCACTGCCAAACAACCCTGCAAAAATCTTTGCTGGGATGCTGTGACTTCCTTTTTCTTCCCTTCGAACCTGCAAACCGCCCTCTGCATAGCTGAGTCCAGAGTACCAGTGTGTACCGGTGTGTGGCAGAGCAGGGTCTCATCCTGCCAGATCCTGGGACAGGTTTTAAGGAACTCGCAGGAGTCTTCTATGCAGTGTCTCTAGGCCTTCCATTTGTGTATGGGTGGATTCATTTGTAGTGGTTTTCTCCATTCTTCGCCCTCTGCATTTTTAAAACCGTGACTTAGGCTTGGGTGAGTGAGGTTCAGGCTTTTGCTTGCGTCACTTTCTCCAAGCAATGACGCACACATGCGCTCTTTTTTTTGCCACATAAGTGGGTGGTTTATAGGCTGGGAGGGAATGATTCAGAAAGTAGCTAGAGCCTGTGCCTTTCCTCTGTTACCCTAATGGTGTGTGAATAAGATTCAGTGTAAACCTTTCTTCCCTGGCTTTCAAACAAACAAATTGTTAAGCGTTTTCACTCTCTAGCTGTGCCTTGTCAAGCCTTATCCATGCTAAAGTGCTAATGCAGTGCATAACATGGGGGTAACTGCAGAGAGACTTAACAGCCTGCCATCTGCAAATGAAAACCGTGAAAATACTACACTCTGCAGCACTCTGTCACTGGACTGCAGTTGTTGGTGGCTTTTGCAATCAAGATGAAAAAGTGCAGAGCAACAGTCTTGGAAAGCAAGCGAGCAGAGAGGTCTGTCTGTTTTGGGGAAACAGCAGTGGGTAGCGGTGCCGAGATGGGAGGGCAGGTTGTGTGAGCGTGTGTATGCTTGGCTGGCTACAATAACGCTGCAGCTGTAGTGTGTGCTGAGTTAGGGAAGAAAAGAGGAAAACTGAGGTGCAGGAAACCACATGGGGAAATGCTTAACAAGCACATTGTTTGTTTATTTAAAATGATAATGCACGACTAAGTCAGTCTTTTAAAAGCAACCAAGCAGGCTCACTCTCAGATCCAAGCAAACTTTTGTGCAGTGAGTAGTGAACGCTGCCGCTTTGCAGGGAAAACGGGAGCTCTAGTGAGGAGCAGCGCTGGGAGCGAGCATCTGCGGTACGATGAAGCAACCACTTTCTGCTCGAAGCATTAGTTATTAGAAATCTTGAGCAACCCATGGTTAATGAAACCAGCTTGTCTCATTAGCCACACTTGACAATTATACTTACAGAGGTTAGCAAAACTAAATATTTTTCTTTGTGGCTGGAGTGGCGTCATGAGAGCCCCTCTCTTATACAACCCATTTTTACAGTGTGAATTGTGACATGGCTTTGGCCTTAGTACCCAAAGCTTAGTATTTAAATGAGGAGGGTTTGGATTTTGTTTTGCCCGAGTTAGTTCTAATGTGAAAATTGCGGGCTCTAGATTTAGACCAGAGCTCGAACATTTGTGGTTCAGGTTAAATTTTCCAAACTGCAATTGGAAATTCTCATAAATATTGCTGCATACTTTTTGTTCTTTTTGGTTTGGTCTTGTTTGTAATCTTTTATCTCATTGGTAGGATTAGAAACCAAGAAGTATTGTTCCCAGACTGGAATCTTTATACGCACAGCATAGAAACATTTTGTTTCGAGAGAAAGAAGGACTTCTGAAAGAAGTATCAGTGCAAGGAATTCACCTGGCTTCCTCCGTTTGCTGCGTCTGCCCCAGGATGGCATAGGGTGTTTCCTGTTAACTGCCTTCATGGACATCTGAATGAAGAGACTTTTTTTATATATGTGTAATCTGACTGTTAGTTATCAGAGAGAAGCCCAAATAGTAAAAATAAGGAATTAGTGTTACCTTGTGAATATCTGATCCTTTAGATCCTCACTTGTGTGCGAGGTTGGTATTCGCTGTAGCAATCCCCCTGAAGTCATTATCGAAGTGCAATCCTGCTGTTACGTACTGCAGTGTGTGTTTGTCCCATCCTGTGCATACCTTGTGTAGCAGATACCGTGTTGGAATATGTTCACCTCTGGCAAAATAATTGTGAAAGAAGTTTGCTGTGGGGTGATCATGGATCTTGAGAAGATACCATAAGCATTTATGAGGCCCCGTGCTCTGGTAGCACACCTATTAGGAACACCTGCCCTCTTACCTGTCGAATCCCGAAGCGTACGCTCAGCTTCCAGTGTCTGAGTCGTTCTGTAAATTAAATAAGAATATCTGTACCAACAAATAGCAGGGGATACCTGCGTGCTTATTGTGCATTTTGCAGAACGAAGGCCCTACTGACGTGTTGTGAGCGCATTCCTCCTGTGGAAGATGATGCTGAATGCCAAAGCTGGCGAGGGCCTCTGCAGACCCCTTATAGTAACTTTCATGTTAGCAGCTAGCCAGCATCCTGGCTTTTTTCTGTCTTCCTAATTTACAAAACCATCTGTGGTTTCCCTGCTAGAAGCTTTTTCAGGCTGTCTAGCTCTTCTAGAAATGCTCTTCTTCCTCTTTAAAAATCATTACTATGTATTAATGCTCCTTTTTCTATTTTATACAGTTTTACATCACACTAGCCGTAATTGGAACATCTTTTAGTGTTAAGTGATGTGATTAATATTTGTTGTATTGTTTGTTTTCCTCGTCCTCTTCCCATGAGAGCACGTATTTATTGAAATACTTTGTTACAGATTTTTTGTTTTGCTTGACTTTTTTCATTGATCCATTTTTAATCTTTGTTTGATAGCCTCACTGTTTTATGTTAAGACTGGGAAAAGGTTGTAAGATGCTTCATTTTTAGAAGGCCTTGCAAATGGAGAGCTGCTGCTGGTGATTCTAGAAATGGATGTGCAATAACGGAAACAAAAATTGTGTGGTTAATCTTTTCCACATCAGGTTCAATGCTCATCCAAGCCGTGCTATTTGAACGGGTAGAGTTTTACAGGAGTCTGCCAGGAAAATAAATATATTATGTGTTGAAATGGCTAAAGTGCAAAACCTCAACCGATGCAGGTGAAGGTAACTCTTGTATTGTCAGCAGAGCTACGCGGGCTTGGAATAGCTGAAGACTTTTAAGCACCTTTTAATGGAAATGGTTCTGTGTGTTCTGAAATAAAAATATATTTTATAAAGCAACACTAGAGTCAGTGAAGTTTTCTCTCAAACTATCCCATCCGAAGTCCATAATAAACATAGTCCTTGCATTTCTTGCATGTTCACTTTTGTTTTATGTCCCTTGGTGGCTCAGTTTTGCACACTTGATTCCTGTGAAGTTTTCCCCTTTGTTGCTTCCTGCTGTTTTGTTCTTTGTGGAGTCTGAAGGAGGCTGGCTGTCGGTCATGATATTTCAGTCAAGAAATAATCTATTTTGATAGACAATGAAGAGATGGGGACTTAATTAGAATAACTTTGACTAAGGAGAGATTTCTTGTATGCAGCGATATTTTCCTTCCCTTGTATATCCTTCATGGTCAAGGAAAACTGTTTTTCCAGAGTAGTGTTGGGTTAAGAGTTGAGACAGTTTTATATGCAAAGTGTCTGATACCCTATTATTTTATATTTTAGTGCAGGGAAGAGCCATTGCAACTCAATTTGTCTGTGATGTAACCACACCCACAACAATTGTTGCAGCTTGGAAACAGTGGCACCCTGGGCTAGTGCGTTTTTGGAGTAAATTAATTTAGGTTGGACAGAATGGATTTCGATATCTCAATGCTTTTCACATATCTTGGAGTCCAGGAGCAATGGTTGGCCACTTCATTTTGAATCTCTGACCTGAAGCAAATTTTGCTCCTGTCGCATTAAATGGGGAGTAGGGGGGTCCAAAGGATAACTTTAGTAGAATCGGAGCCCTCTTCAGTTGTAGCAGTCCTTCCAAATTCCCATTTTAAAAGGAGCAAACAGATATAAATGTCCAGCAAACTGATTTAACCCAGCTAACCGGAAAGATTCATCACTGAGAAGATTTACTCTTCTTGTAAATGCCTCTTTCAAGGTGTGAATTGCTTTTCAAGAAATGCCTTTTCCTTTCTCTCCCCCTTTGCCTCCCAGGAGCAGTTCAGAGAGGAGGAAGGAGAAATCCAGAGATGCTGCAAGATGCCGACGAAGCAAAGAAACCGAAGTGTTTTATGAACTGGCCCACGAGCTGCCCCTGCCGCACAACATCAGCTCACACCTGGACAAGGCCTCCATCATGCGCCTGGCCATCAGCTTCTTACGCACGCACAAGCTCTTGTCTTCAGGTAAGGTCTGGCCAGAAGAAGTCGTCGATGCTAGTTGGCATCAGCACGGTAAAGGCTGTGCGTGGTGTTCTCTCGGTCCGGGGTCCTAAAGTGAAAACGGGACGCAACTGCCAGCATTGTGGGAATACAATTAGATGCTAAGCTGCAGGGTTTTTTCATTGCCATATGTATATTCTAGTCAGGATAGAAGAAAATCTTGAGTGTTGCTAGTCACGTAACGTAGTCACGTTCCTTAGGCATCTCAGAAGGTTCTGAAAACTCTTGAATATGGTTCATTAAGCTCAGTTATAAGGTTTTAAGCTTTTATGAGTTTAATCAGAATTCAGATGCACATCTTATGCTTCCATGCTGAAACAAGTAAATCTTGATTTGGCTGGGAAACATGTTTGTTCAAGTGCTTTTAAAAGGCAGCTCGGAAGTTCTGAATGTCCAAAACTTTGTTTGAAAGGACTAATTGTCCTATATGCCAGTAATAAGTAGCAGATAGGTTGTCTAAGGCATGGTAGACTCAGATAACTAAAGCAAACAGCTTTTACATTCTGGACATGAATGGATTCTGTTTAATTAGAATCTTACTCATTTTGGACTAGTATGAAATGTGAACCAGCATCATTTCACAGCCCTGAAAACTGATAAAATCACAAAATATTCCTATTTTGCAACTGTGTTTAAGCAATCACTTGGGAAATCTATAGTTTGAGTAGCCTACAGGATTAATGAAAATAACTGGTGATTATGGGAGAGCTTTCACATGGTAACTTCTAAGTGTCAAGAATATGTTAACAAAACAATGCCTGAATTATTTGTGAAAGGTAAAGCTGAGATACTGTCTTTTCCCATGTTAATGGCAAACCCCCCCACCGCCCCCCCCAGTTAAAGTCACGATTTCATTTCCTTTCTTTAGAAAAGTTGAGTCATACTGTAACAACTGCTTTAGTAAATGCTATTAGGAAGTACCTCATTTTATGGAGGAGTATGTTATTGGTTACTTGTTGGTTAGTCTGAAAATGTAACAGATTAATTTCTGCTCCTGTGTGGTGTAGTTTTTGTAGCTTTTTTTGGGCTGTGCTGAAACTGTTGCATAAAATATGAGCATTTTAATCTTAGCTTACAGAATCCGATTTCTCTAACAATTACTTCTGTAAAAAGAAAAGGTTAGTTACTGAACAGTGTTTCCAAGTCATCTCTTTTTTCCTAATATAATTAATAGTTGGGGAAGCTAACATAAAATAGGTAAATGTTCTTAAAAATGCCGTATAGCAAGCTAGTTTGTTAGTATTTTTCTCATTTGAAAAGCTGAAGCTGTGTTTTTGTATTTATATGACGTGAGCCAGAGGCTGTCAAAGAATAGGAAAATAAAACTTCTGAATGATTGTAACAGCTAATGTGATAATGTGTGTGTGTGTGTCTGCGAAAGATGAAATGAAATGTCTTAACACACGCACACACACACATATATATGTGTATAGACACATACACGCATGAGCGCATGTGTACACACACACACACACACACACACACACACACACACACACGATTTTTCTGTTATGATGTTTGAAAAAGAATGTGATTCATGCAGCTGATTTACATTTCTTGAAGTACCACATACTTAAAGTACCACCATAACCCACTAGGTAAAAAGGAATCCAGAAATGAAACATTGCAGTTGTGACAAGCTGTATTTTAATATTCCAGCCTTTACCTATGACAACTCTTTGCTTAACCTTAAGTCTAGCAGCAAATCTGATCCCCTTCCCCAGTTTAAATATTAATTAGGATTGAGTCCTTTCATTAAAATTAGTGTTGCTAGTCAGATGCAAATTTGTCCAAAGCTGCATCTTTAGACACTTGAGATGTAGACCAGGGTTTCATAATCTTTAATGTTTCCATTTGGGGGGATTGATCTTAAGAAACTTTAAAGAGAATTCTTCTGGAAAAGTTGGGTGTTGCTTTCTGAAATTGTGAATAGGCTGAAATGATTGAACTCAGGCCAAAAGACTTTGGCCACTAATTATATTCTTCTGGGTATAGCTAACATTTAATTGGCCAAGTTAAACAAGAAGGCTAAAGGTTAATTTAGCCCTGAACAGTTGAAAGATAATTTTTAAGGTTTAAAGTAAAGAGGCATTATTGGAGATAGAATTTTTATTGTCATTATCAGAATACCACCTTCAGGGTATTAACTATTCCTCATTGTGATTGCTACAGTTTACACTTCCTAAGATTCACATACATATCCTTGTAGTCAAGTCAAAGTAAGTTTGTATTGGCTTGGAAACTGTTTCTCCCTCTCTCTGTAAGGTTGTGAAGTTGAACACAGGCATTTCTAAGCAGGCTTCTTGCAGGTGAGCTGTGTTGAAAAAATATGACCATTCTGAGCAGAAAAACTGGTGAATAACATAGTTGTACAGTAGTTACGTAGTATAGCTAGGGTGTTGTTTTTCTGACCAATCCATGTGAAAGCAGACTAAGAACAGACTTTAAATCTTAGCTCCTGGGCTGCGCTAGCTCCTGAATATTGTTAGTCTTGACAAGAACACCAACTTTCACTAGAAGACTGTCCAATTTAATTCAAAGCTGCTAGTTTTCACGACAGTCTTCGGCTCACGCAGAAAGAGGATTGCTGCTCATCGCAAACCTTTTGAGAAGAGCGGAGGGCAAAGCGGGAACCGGGTTCGTGTGGTGCTTGTCCACGTGCTGTTCTCCCTCTCAGCCTGGGCTCCGTCCCTGGCAGTCCTAAGCGAAGCTGCTCATTTCACGCTGGTGTTTCGAAGACGGGAATTTGGCCATTAATTCCCATTGCGCGTGAGGAGCCCACCCGCGCTGCCCGGGAGCGCGGGGGCTGTTCGGTTGTCTCTGGCAGGTGAACGTGGAAACGGGGAGGTGAAGAACCGCAGCGTGGATGTGAGACGAATGATCGCCTCAGCCCACAGACCCTGGTGGCTGTACGCTGTCCTCATGGAAACAGTGTTGATTATTTGGTCTAGATGCTTAGTGTAAACTGGACTTAAGTGGCAGGATTTCTTCTGTAATCTCTTCGAACATTAAAATAACATTTACTGCATTTATATACACAATGTCAATAAAATAAGCTTGCAGTGCAGCTTGGAAAATTCAGAAGATAGTTGAGAAAAAAAGCACTGCTCGATTAGCATTTTTGGTATTTATTATTTATTCTATCAAAAACTACTGGCACACCAGATTTTATGTTATGTTAGTGTTTGTGGGCATGGTTCTCAACTGGGGACACACCTCCTCATTTCACAGCAGTTTTGCTGGGAACAGAGAGAGCAAGGGCTTTCGAGGGCTGTATCCTCATCTTCCTGCAACCTCCTGCTCCTTATTTTAGAGACGTCCTCAGGGGACTTGCCAGCCTCAGCCAGTTGGCATCCAGGTGTCTACGGCTCCGTCGTCTTATTCCCTGATTTGGAATAGGGCTTTCCATTTGTGTCACTTGGGCTCTTTTACTAGCTGTGCCTATAGGATGATGTTTTATCTCTTGGGAAGCTGGGGTCTAGAGAAATGTGTGGCCACGCTCTGCCCACAGGTGACCAGCAGGGCCCTCATGGAGTGCTCCCCTGTTACGTGCCTCTGAAAATCCCGGCCTCTGGGCTAAAGAGTGCAGCTCTCCTGCAGGCGCTGAAGGGTCTGAGCTTGGCCCTTGTGTCCCATCACAAAAGGAAATAGCTGGTTGTATATCTCAGAGTTCAAAAGGGTAAAAAATACCAGGTTTTGCTTTATAAAAGTTGCTGCTTTACTTAGTAACACATTTCCCTTTGATTTTCACAGTAGGCAGTTCTGTGTGGGAATGTTGGAGAGGAAGCCTTTAACATTTAGAAATGCAGGCTGTTAGTCCGACGGCCTGATCTCAAGATTAGTATCACAGGAAGCAAACTGAAACAATAGCTTTATAATACTGTTTCCATGTTGTGCACAGAACAGTACACAGTATAATTGGAATGTTAGTCGAAATGTCATTTAATTATGATCGTCTTAAATATTTTTCAAGATGTCTTCTAATTCTATTGGCATAATACTTTTTGCCATCATTGCATTAAAAAGGTTGAGATAAATTTAGAAGAGAGCTTTGTTCATTGCAAGTGAAGATTATGATGCCACATAAAGTTACTCCTGGAAATCACTGTCTGATACTTGCCAGTATTGGAGCTTCTGGAGATAGGGTCTTGTGTTCTTCAGCATAGTCAGAAAATTTGATATCCGTGCATGTCTCCTTTTATTCTCTACTGAATAAAGAATACTGAATAAATTTTCCTAATGCTTTTTTTGGGTTAACAGATGGCCAAAAAAAAAAAAAAGTTTTTTGTTGAAGAGTAGCTGTCTTGATTAACATGAGAGTTGCTTGATAATTGCCTCAGACAATCTGCTATTGTCTGGATAATAGGAAGAGTAGAGTCCACTCTAGGAAGCCTCTATTATTAGTATGTGGTGCCAATAATTTATGTGGTTATTCTGACCACACTCGAGAGAAAGGCGTTACTGGAAGCAGAACTCTTTGGTATTTGAGTTCCTGTGTGTGTCAGGACTGTGGGCATTTTAGTTAGGCTAATCAGGCAAACACAGTTTTGCCAACTTTCTTTAATCCCATGCTAATCGTACGGTCGCCGGGGTGTCTTTTCTGTGCAGAGGTCCAGTAAAGGAAGCTGGCTGGGAGTTGCTCCTGTGCTGGGAGACAGCAGAAGAAACGGGGAGGGAGCAGGGAAGCAGACGGGAAGCTGCTTCGGAGAAGGGAGGCCGCAAGGAAGCCAGTGTGAAGTTGTTTCAAGGGAGGGAGACAACAGAGCCGGAAAGCCAGCAGGGAGCAGAAGGGAAAAAATAGCTTTACTCTCTGCTTTTAAGGGAGAGCATACTATAGGGAGAAGTGGTGCAGGCATTGTTTTGAATGTCTGGACAAGCCACAGCTAATCTCAGGCCATTGTGGCATAAAACAGTGCTTTAAAAATAGCTTGTCTGCTTGCTTGCTTTTATCAAACTGGAAAAAT